TTAAAATGGATGATAGGTATTCAAGGATTAATTGCACTACTTGCATTTCTTTTAATGTGTGAAGTATTTTATAATAAATTAAACATTCTCTTTGTCGCTTATTCTTGCAATATTGTATCCCTTCAACTGTCTCATTCTTTACCATTTTTTGATCTCATCACAATCTCTAGCTCTACAAATCTTACCTTCTCTCTAACTCTAAGCTCTTATTTCCCTTAGCATCAAACCTTGCTTGTGTTCCTTCCCAACCTAGCCTAGCCCTCCTGATGGATACCTTCATTCACATCCTTGTAGCTGTCTCAGGCTGCTGAACCCCTTATCCTTCTACCACATCCTTCTACCACATCCTTCTTCACCAGTTTCCTCAAGCCACTTACTTCGGCTTTTGTAACATCTAGGAGTTTGCATTATTGATGTTTGAATTTGTATCTTTTTCCTTTTCAGTCTCCTTTTGATGCTCTTTTTCCTTTGCCTGTCTCTAAGTATTGATGTTTCACAGGGTGCTGTAAGTGGCACATCACATCTAATTCCATGTGCCATCTCTTTATGGATCATCTACTCTCCTGGCTTCAGTTACTATCCATAAGCTCTTCAGGTCTCTTATCGCCAAGTGAGACCTCTTCCCTGACTTCCAGATCTGCCCTTTGGACTGCTCACTTGATGGTACCAGTTAAATGTTTAAAACTTGAACTTCTGAATTTCTTATCTTTCTTCTAAAATTGATTGCTTGATTTATTTGGTTTTTCTTACTGCTTTGAAGAATGACACCACTGAATGGCAATCACCAGAACTAAAAATGGAAATCATTCAAGGATCCTCCCCTCTCCTCCCACCTCATTTTCTACGTGAAATCAAAGAACAAATCTGGTATGTCTCACAATCATCCTTAAAACTTTTCACCTCCCTTCCCACTTCTGTGCTCATAGCTCCCCTGGTCACAGACCGCTGCAGCAGTCTTCTAGTTGACCTCCTTGCCTCTAAATCTTCATTGTTCCAATCCATCCTCTATACTAATGCCAATGTTCTTTCTAAAATCTGAAGTTTATCATGTTTCTTCCTTACCTTAAAACCCTTTTCAACACCCATGGCCTACCTAGCAAATTTTAAACTCCAGAGTATGCCTATAAGGTCCTCCCTGATCTGGCTTCTGCCTGCCTTTCCAGACTTGTTTCTAACTCCCTTTCTTTCTCTTCCCTTCACCCTCTCACCAATTGCCAATACATTCTTTGTTATTATTATCAGCATACTAACATACACACATACATTTATTTATTATTTATTATTATTTATTTATTTATTTATTTATTTATTTATTTATTTATTTATTTATTTATTTTGCAGAACCCTTATTATAGCAAGATATAAAAACAAATGTAACTTTAAATGTTTATAACCACACTAGGCCTTTTTAGCTTGCTGAAATTTGGGGGAATAGCTTATATAATTCTTGAAACTCACAGACCATCTTCATAAAAAACATTATAAAGTTTGAGTATGGTTTTGAATGCATGTACATGTTTTTGTTAAGATACATAAATTTTCTCTTTCCTGACTGTATTCATAATCTGGACATTTTCATACATCCTCAGTGAGTTAAACAAACTTGAGGACTTTTTACTACTTAAGAGAATCAGCACAGTTCTATCTGCCAGTGGCAACATACTTAAAAGTTAATGAATAGTAACTGACAGGTCACCAACAGGTTTCTGACCCAGTTTAGAGCAAAGTGAACTTTTACCTGGGTGTAAATATGCTTCAAACAACTCCTTTAAAAGCACTTTTAATAGCCATTTCCATTTTAATAGTCGGATGAGGATTGTAGCCTTCAATCTGAAAGTCTTCAGCCTTGAAGTCATCAATTTTCTCAACTTTTTGAAGGATTTTGAGCTTCAGGAAAGGCCTTGGTTCTCGCTGAAGCTGCATTTTCAGCGGCTCAATGTGATTCATGTAAATGTGGGCATCTCCCAAAGTGTGTACAAAGTCACCTGGCTTCAGGCCTGTGATGTGTGCAATCATGTAGGTGAGCAGGGAGTAGCTGGCGATGTTGAAGGGCATGCCCAGGCCCATGTCTCCCGACCACTCGTACAGCTGGCAGGACAGCTCACCGTTCACCACGTAGAACTGGCAAAGGGCAGGGCAGGGTGGGAGGGCCGTGAGCGCGAGATCTTTTGGATTCCAGGCACACATGATGACGATTCTGTCATTAGGGTTGGTTTTGATTGTGTCAGTCACCTTCTGCAGCTGGTCTACTCCTTCGCCTGAATAATCTGAATCCATATCTTTGTATTCGGCCCCAAAATGCCTCCACTGAAAGCCGTAAACCGGGCCTAGATCTCCTGCTCTGGTGGAGAATCCCAGGCTGTCCAAGAAGTCTCGGGACCCACTGGCGTCCCAGATTTTCACTCCCTTGGAAGACAGCTCCTTAGCGTTTGTGGATCCCTTGATAAACCACAGCAATCCCTCCAAAACATCTTCCCAGAAAACACGTTTGGTTGTGAGCAGTGGAAATTCATCTCTCAGGCTGTAGCGCGCCTGCATGCTGAACACCGACAGGGTGCCGGTGCCCATGCGGTCATCCTTCCGGGAGCTGCAGCGGAGGATGTGCTTAATCTGCCCCAAGTACTGCAGCTCCCCGTGCGGTGGCGGTGGCGGCTCTGTGCCCCGCTCCTGTGCGGCGGGCAGTGACAGTGGGCGCGGCAGTTCGGAGCCGGTGGCAGGCAGGGTGCGGGCGCGGGTGCGGGCACCGGAGGGTGGCGGGCGGCTCCATACTAACCTTTATTGAGCTCTTACTATATTCCAGGAACAATATCCATAATTTTACATTGCTATCTTCTTTTCAAATTACGTTTCAAAGTCCTTTCGGAAGGAACTCCTATTATGTCCATTTGATGGATGAGGAAAGTGACGCATGCTGATGATTGTAGACGAGTAAGCTGTAGAGCTAGAATTTGAACCCAGATGGTTTTACCGAATTAGTTACTGTTTCCCTAATCATGAGACTGTTTCCCCTTCCAGGATCTTGCTTTACAAGGAATTCTTCCCCTCTTAACACACTCAAGGTTCAGGACTTGGGTCACATACCGTCTTCCATAGGAGGCTTTTCCTTTACTCTTCTAGGTGATACTGACTTTTTTCTCCTTCTGCATTCTTCATTACGTGTTTCTCCATAAGACTCACATTTATTTTCTTGCTTTCCACCTCTTGCAGATTGTGAGGGATGGTACTGAAGTCATCTGTGTTTATTTGATGAAAGTTTAAAACAAGAGCCCTGTACTTGGTTGAAACTCAGTAAATATTTGTTGAACTGAATTGCTGGATTTCTGCAGTCTTATCCCCTCCTATTATTTACATGTCAGAACCTCCACTGTAGTATAATGTTAAAATTATAAATGTTTTATAACTGCTTACATCCCACATTCTTCTGTCCCATTGCTTATCACAGTGCCTCAAATATAATAAATATTCAGTAAACATTGGTTAGTTAAAGCATTGTATTCCCCCACCACATGACAATTTCATCCATCTCCTTCTCAGACTTCATATTACCTTTAGCACAAAAAATGAATAGACTCAACATTAATTCTTACTAAGTACCCATCATAAAAATCTAGCCCCCGCTTGTCCATGTGGGGACATCTGCAAAGCTGTCTTACCTTCCTCTACTATTGCCTATTCCTGAACACAAATAGTTACACAGAGTTCTTACTATGAATCTGCCATTTTAGCTAACCTTATACACTGCTAATTTCTTTAGGGAGAGATTTGGCCTGAAGAGATCACTCTTTTGAGATCAATTTAAGAAAAGGAAAATGTAAGCCAAATGTTAGGACCTTCAGGAAGTCATATCTATTGGCCTGGGATACACTATCTCAGAGAAGAAAGCTGATTACTTGAGACAGTTTAAATGAAAGAGAGCAAAGCATTAAGCCCACTGAGCTGGAGGAATGTCCAGACTGCTTCATATAGATGTTTTATCTTTATGGAAGTCAAATGTATGTAAGTGCAGACATGAAACTTATACCACAAACATATTAAGCTAATTATTTGCATAATAGAAATAACCATATGACCTAGTTTTCAATAGGATTCTGCATGTTTTCTTAGTTAGGGACTCTATCAATGCACCTGAGTATTTGCTTAAAGGCTTTTATTATTGGATAGAGCACAAATAGAAGCTCAAAGCACTGTTTATCATAGTGTTCTCTGTGGCAGTAGGAAGATGATAGCAGTCTGCGTCCCAACCCTGAGGGAGTATTAACACAAGGTACATGCAGACCATGTAGTACTTGGCAGAAACCTGAAGCCACATGCTGGATATATGCATAGAAATAAGGTTATATCTTAAAACTATACTGTTGAGTAAAAAAAAGGTAAGCGAGCCGGTATCTCTAGCACAACACCAGTAGTGTAAATTAAATGACATGCATGCTAACAACCCTTTCCATCTTCCAAAACTTTATATAAAGAAAAGGTTTAAAATCAAGCATATGAGGGGAGTTGACTGTACAGTGAGAGCCAGACATGGGAGTACAGAATGAGAATGAAAAGGGAATAGGTTAATCGATAAAGCAAGAGGAATGCCTTTTGCACACCAGTAATAATAGTGTGCCACTACCTGCTGAGCATGGCTAACTCAACACGTCAATTGGTTTCTTTGTAAAACTAAAAGTAAATTTAAATTTAAAAAGAGAAGAAAATGCCAGTTGATGGTCTAGAAATGGTGCACTCTTGAAACTGCTAGAAGGGAAAATGTGTTGTGCAAAATTTAATTTGCATACTATTTCAGAACAAGCCCAGTTGTAACATGAGACACACTCCCTCACATACAGTCTTCTATTCTTTCGTGCTGCAGAGAATATCCATTTATTAGTCACAGAAGAGAGATCATTCTTCCTCCACTTTATTGTGTTCTTTAGACTTGTACTCTAGTGTTAATATCAACAAATACACAGAATTTCTCGTTTTGCAGCTAACTGGCTCTCAGTCAGCTTTATGGAAATTCTCTAGGTTGGGGCACACAGATGGAAAGGAACCGGAGAGGCTCTTCCCACCCTTGCCAATTGGAGAAGAGGAATTAAATAACGTCCCTACGAATACATATAAACTCACTTTGTAGGTGTTTAAAGGTTCTCTTTCTCAGACTTCAGGACAGAAATACATTAGTTTATGATAGTACCGGTGGTAACCATGTTTATGGTATAGCAGTAAAAACAATCATAATCCCAACGATAGATTAGGGAGTGGACTAACCCCAGGTCCCTGAAGTCTGACAAGTATACAGTAAATCCTTAGGTAGATCGATCAGCACGATGATGACAGGGGCTTATATAAGACTGAGCTAAGGTTTCTTCTGGGCTTGCATCCAATAGCCAGCAATTGTAGAGAAACTTTGCCCTTGGTAATTAACTCCTAATTCAATAATTATTTGAGTAGGAAAGGGTTAAAATCAATGTCAGTCTTTGCATGCTGCAGTTTTTCTATTTTCAGAACCTATCATCTTGGAAAGAAAAAAGGCAACAACACACAACTCTAATGCCCTTACCAGATGGATCTGTGTTATTGCAGAACAGGGACCTGGAAAGTCTCCATATACCAAGCTATAAATATTCCTTTGACATTTATTATCCTCACTTGAGTTCAGGTGCTTAAATGCTTGGACTGAAGTCATGTTTGTAGCAGAAAAAAGTTGATCTTTAAGCATACCTTGTCGCTGGCTAAATTATTAGCAACAGACAAAGATGGAGGGTAAGTACGCCGGAGCAAGGGAGTCTCCCACTTAAGAGAGGTCACGGAACCTTTAAGTCAAATTAGTTGAAGTTTAGATTCGCTTGTAGTACAAATTCCCAAACACCTCACCTCAGACAATTTGATGGATCACATCCCAGCAACTCCCCACCAACCCCCAACTTTCCAAATATGTATCTACTAGTGTGGTGGTCTGTGGTCTTGAATTTGAGTCCTAGCACCGCCAGCTGCATTGGATTGTAAATTCAAACTCCAATGAATCTCAATTCACATTTGCCTTAAGGGAAGTGTAGGATTATGTAAACCAGGAGATAATAACCGCTATAAAATCCTTCTAATAAAATAAAATCAAGCTAAAGGTGTCAGCATAGATTAACAGTCCTTCTCCTTTTAGGGGTGTAGACTCCTGAAATGTGGTTATTTTGTGGTTCAGGCGAGGATTTAGTAGTATTGTTCTTAATTAGGGACCACTTAATTCTCTTGGGGATGATTACTTGGAGCCTGGGATAGGTTTCCTTCTGAGAAGAAAAGAATCCATGCGTGACTTTGCCTGGGATATTCCATGACAAAGTCTTGCAGATATATCCTTCCCAGGACTATTGGTAGCCCTAGCCCAGAGGACCCAGAACAGTGTGAAGGTGGAGACCCATAGGCCTCCTCCTTTATCCTGTTCCCCCACACCCAGCATAAATGACCCCTTAGTGGCTGTCAAAAGAGCTGACCCAGTGTGATGCCACACCAGTACGTTTATAAGTTTGGAACCGGGCAACACATTTTAAAGGGACATTGTCAAACTACATTGTCTAGAAAAGAACGAGGGGTGTAACATTTTTGAAATAGAAACATAGTCAAAGGAGTTAAGACTTCTCTTTTCCAAACTAAACATCAATAAGATGTGTTCACCCCAGCATCAGATGAAACAATTCTTGGGATACATACATAGAAATAAGACTGTATCTTAAAACTATGTTTTAAAACTATTGTATCTTAGAACTACATTGTCATAGTGTTAATTGCATAGGCTCAGAAGTCAAATTGTCTACTTTCAAATCTTGGTTCTTCCACTTAGTAGCTGTGTGACCTCAGGCAAGTTATTTACCTCTTCTGTCCTTCAGTTTCCTCATTTGTGAAAGGGGAAAAATAATAATGCCTACCTTATAATGTTAAGAGAATCAAATGAATTAATAGTAATAAAGTGCTTAGAACAGTATTGGAACATAGGAAGGCTTTGTCAGTGTTTGGCAAATTAAGCAAAGAAGAATAAGCTGTTTTCAAATATTTGAGAAACTGTAATATAGATGTGTAGGTAGGCTTTTATTTGAGTTCCTATAGGGCACAGGTGCTTGATTTGGGCATCTATGGAAAGAGTCCAAGGAGTCCTTCAAATCCATGAAATTACATGTAAATTTTGTATATATGCATACTTTTTTGGGGGGAAATATTCATAGCCATTCTTTATATTTCCAAAGAATACCATGACCTTCAAAAAGATTAACCATTGAAAATAAAACTAAAATCAATGGATGAAAGTTTCATGGAGTTGAACTTCGGCTGGTAGGAAAGGAATTATTCTTAGGCTTTAATTATCAAAACGCAGGGGTCATCTTGGGAACATCAGAGGCTGTATTCCAAGAACTGTCTCATCGGATGCTAGATGGACACATCTTAGGGTCTAGGGGGCAAACTAAACCAACTCTCATTATCAGAGCCCTCAGAGGTGAGACAGGTCTCAGCATCCCTGCCCTATACCCCTTTCTTCCTCTTCCTGCATCACTGCTTTCCCATAATTGAAATGTGACCCCTCTGTAAGGTTTGAAACTGTAAGGTTACATAGTCCGTGCTTAGCACCAACTACTCAATGATAAAGCCAGTCCTGTCACCCTTGTTGAAAATTTCCTGATGATTTTCCAGTGCCTTAATAATTCGTTTGCAAAGAATAGAAGTCTAATTATAATGTGACATCATCCTACTCCTCATCTATATTTCTTAACAGAGTCCTAACCTTTCATTAATATCCAATTCA